AAATATTAAAAGCATTTTAAATAATAATTCAATGATTTTTAAGTTATTTTTCAACACATTACGTGTAATTTTATGTCCAAGTATCAAATGCAGTATTTAAAAAGTTTGTAAAAAGATATTAAATGAAATGTTTAAATTGATTTACTGAATTGCCGTGTTTCACAAATTTTGGAGTTTCCAAAGAGCCAAATTGAATGTGGCTCTGAACCTCAGCTTCGTTGATAGGCCACTTTACGGTGATAATTCCATGGGATTCCCACGTATCCATCAACCGAACACTTCCTCTGATCATTGTGTATTACGCCTTTAACATAGTGCAGTAAAAGCAAAACGGGAGGAAGTCTCAATGCACTGGGGAATCTTGATTTGTAATTGTAAAAATTGTAAAAGGCCAATCAAGGTGTTCTAAACACAACCGGAGTCGAAAAGACCACGAAGACTCCAACAGATAGTAAGCATCTCGCACTGATCACTACAACCCCAAGTAGTGACCGTTAAATATTGAAAAACAACCATTCGATGAACACGTGTCTCTGCAAGTGTTTGTGTACAAACATCAATACATGTTTGAATACGTCTCCCGATATCATCTTGTGTGGCTATAAACATTTCTAAAGTGACACTTTTAACATCATGCGATCAGAGCGAGATGCCTATATTACTTTATCAAATGGAATATACGTTTGCGTTTCGTCGTTGTATTTTTCAATAAAATCATGTATAATACGAGGTCATTGAATTCATGTCGTTACGCTCTATCCTTTTGTAGAAAAAAATATACTGTCATTTAAAAAATCCAACTGACCTTGAAGTGACCTTAATGTTAACATTTAACGAACTTTCATCTGCATGTCTAGTGTCTCCCTCTATCTCATTTAATCCCTTAAAAGCAGATTTTCCAATTAACGTAATTTTCGAAATATTAACATTTATAGATTAAAATGGGTCACCCGTATATACATATAATTCTTTCTTGTTTATGGTAAACAGAATTTCAGGAGATATAATATCCATTTTAGGTGGTTTGGTGCTTTGTCTTCTTGCATTAATCTTGAAATGTAGTGTTGCAATTTTCCTTCTTTCTAGATGTAATGATCATTGCCTATAATTAATTTTTTGTAGCCTATCTTCACTTGTTTCTTTTTTTCTTTCTCGTCTATTTTTATATTACTTAAAATATTAATTACTAGTT